ACTTTTTGTCACCCATAGCATCAGAATGTAAACTCTTTGATTGCAGTATTAGTCTAAACTGGTAAAAGGTCATCACATTTTGGTTAGTCTTTATCAATATTTTATTTCATACATGTGCACAAAGTCTTCATTTCTGTGCTGTTTCCCCCTGAAATAAGGTGGGGATCAAATTAGAGAGCAGCATGTTCACATAGGTGTGGCATGTGGAGGTTTGTTTATTTGTTTGCAAGTGTTAATGTCATCAGAGGGAATCCCCTTTCTTTTGAGCATATGAGAAAAATGGTAATACTCATCATGATAATATAACATCTAGATACTGAATTAATATGATATTCATTAATAAAGTAGCTACTTTCAGTGAGGCATAATGAAGAACTATCATTTAATCTGATGATGTCATACAGTGGAAATTTTTCATTACAGCATATGTTGATGGGACAGATCTAGCTATTCTGGTGCTTTGCAAAAGCAGAAAGCTTTTCATTATTTTTTATACTCTGATCCTGCTACTCCATTAAATCAGTTTGTCTAGTCTTAGACCATTAGCACCATTGTAACTTCCATTCAGTCAGTCTATTTCTTGTAGATATGAAAAAATGTCTTGACTATAATGCCAAGTATAAAATTAGGATAGATACAGATTCAGATACTCATGCAGAGGTGGCTGCAGGAAAGAGTTTGCTTCTGAAAGGTGCTCATGTTCATGCACAGACCAAGCTGTCCCGGATTTGTGAACACTGTCATAATCAGAACTGAATCCACTGACAAGAATAATCACACAAACAATAAGAAAAATACAATTTCCTTAGAAATAGAGATAGTATTTTCAAAGTTCATAATATAATTGTGTTTAACTTGGTTAGCTAGCCATAGGCGCTGTTTTACATTGTGTAATAACATTGACATCACTTGTCATTGGGATTATGTTTATGTTTTAATTACAGATTTCACCTAGATAAATTTGCAGTAGGCTATGGAAAAGGTCTTATGAATTTCCTCGTATCAGATTCTGACTAGTAGTTATATTAGTACATGATATTAGATAGACTCCTGTAACTTATGTTTAAACCCTCAGCCCCTGTGTTCTTAGAACTGCTTCTTGTGGGTCCTGTGCCATCTTAAGATCACAAATGCTGCTCTGATACCAATGTGAAGGATCAGAACATTTCTTGTAATTCTTTTATATGAACTCTGAGCCACATACAATGGCCAACAGTTCACTTACTGCTTACATGCAATGGGAAACACAGCCATATCAGTGAAACTTTTATTTTGCAGATTTTGTAGTAGTCCTCTGTAGTTATCAAGAAATACAGAACAGATGTAGTCTTTGACATCTCCCGTTGATCCTGGTCCCATCACCGTCCAGGTCAGAGATCTATCACAGAGCATACTGTGTCTCCTTCTAGCCCACAAAACCATGCTTCCTTTTGATGGAAAATAGGGTGCATGGCAAGGAGGGCTGATATATGTCTAAATTTTTCCACAACATAAAATCAGTGTCTGATAAAAGCATGCACTAACATCCAGGACATACATCCAAGTCCTGCAGTTTAAAATTCACTTTTTTGAACCCAGAATCCATGCAAAAGTAAGTGCATATTATCTCTGGCAAGAATAAGATGGTGTCCCATTCTTCTCTGCAGACTAGAATTGTATTGTTTTATTCTGAGACCGTCTTTAGCCTCCCTGGGAAAGATCATGGCAGAAGGAGTGGCCGACCTTGAGAGCTACCCCCATCGACCTCAAATTGCATCTCTCTCTGGAAAGCTCTGGCTTTCCAGGCAGGCTGCAGACCTTGTCATTGTCATGAGAAGGGAGTAATGGCAAAGCATCCACTCTCTGGAGAATTGTCTTAGGTATGAATCCAGTCCAAAAAGGCTGAGTTCTTTGTGTGAAACATTCACATAAAACAGCATGAAGTTTCAAGCTATTAATCATTTTGTCTCGAGTTTAAACAACTGTCTCCTCAGGTACAGGCTGCTGAAGCTTTTCCTTTCAAACGCACCAAGGTGACAGGTTCTCTTTCCCCTACTTCACTTGTAATAACAAATCCTACCCCCTTTCCAGTATGACAGCAGTATTACTTTCATGATCGCGTACTCCTAGACATCATTTTTCGGACTGTGTGATGGATGGCATAAGAGGCAGCAGAAAGGAAGGAAGAAAGGAGGTGGGAGGCCATGGAGATGGGACCCCTCGGGGTCTTCTGCAGGCAGCCCCAGGCAGGTGGTGAGGGGGCAGCAAGACACACAACCCTTGGAGGTGACCAAAATACCTTCCGCTGCCCAGAAGGGACAGGCAGGAAGTTGCCCCTCAGGAAGTTGCTGTTAGCCACAGCGTGCCCGCACAGATGGAGGGACCCATTTTGTTGATTAAATGTTACCATCACAGTCTTTGTCACACTCATTATCTTTGACCAACTAAAAATAATAAATTATACTTGATAACTGTCTGTCCACATCCCTGGTTAGGGAGCTGCTATACCCCAAATGCTGTTTTACACAAGCAGTAGTTAGCCTGTAATAACAGATATAACAGATATGACAGATATAGCTCAGATTTGTTTTTTTCAGAAGTCATTCCCAATTCTTTGCTGCCACTGTCCTTGCTCTGCAGGCTTCAGGGAGTAAATCTTGTCATTGGATCCTGGGGAGTCTCCACCAGTTTTTGACAAAATTTCTGTTTTCATCCTCCTCTGAAGGAACCTATTTATTTTTACAATTCCATCAAATTATTCTGAAACTTTATTTCTGCAATCTATCCAACAGGTCAGAAAAAACAGTAAATTGTTAAATGCTTAGAACTTGATTTCAAGCAGCAAGGTAGTCTGGGGAAAGGAAATGGCTTACAACTATCACATCATACAGTGAAATCCCTTAGGTGCTGGTCTCCTCCTTAACTGACAGGTTGCAGAGCCTAAATAAAAATTTCCAGAGCATTCCAGAGTGTAAAGTTTCTGCCCACCTATGTCTGGGCCATGATAGATGGAGCACGTAGTACTTGCTAAAACTTTGAACTGAAGTATACTAATACCTGTATAAAAAAAAAAACATTTGCTGTTTATATAACCTTCAATGAACATATCCAGAATCTATCCTTCACTGGATGTCATGTCTTTACCTGGACTGAAGTGCAGAAGCAGTATTCTATTGTATTTAAGAGGCAAGATCACAAACACTGGGCCATACCTATGATTCAGTGTGGTCTTAGGGTAGTACAAAATCGCGGGGGGGAGGGTCCCTAATCTTTAGATTGATTTTGAGCTGCTTGCTAGCTTGTGTTGAAAGACTTGGGGTCTCTTTGGGCAGAAATGTACACACTTTAGTCAGCAGTGTAATTACTAAATAAATTCAAGTCTGGTGGTCTCCAAGTTTGCATACCCTGGCCAAATTACATGTTAAGTTATATGACAGCTCTACACATGGAAGTCCCTGGAAGTTGCACATATAACAAGGCTATAGAATAGAAATTAGCTATTCATGACACACTGAACGTTTGTGAAATGTCCATAAAGTAGTATGGAAACTCCTAAGTGTAGTTCTCTATTTCCTTACAAATCTGAATATTAAGCTATTATACCTTTTTTGCTCACATACACGCTATTTTTCAAGTTGAAGCAAGCTTAATCACAAAAAACAAAAAAAAATCCATCACTTTAACAGGTTGGCCTTCTGTCAGAAGAAAATAGATATTTTCTGGAATTTCTAAAAATAACAAGTATGTTTATAATCCACTAACCTGTTCAAAATGAAGTTATAACATTTCAAGTAATTGGGAGAAATCTTCTGATAGTTATAGAAGTTGTTAGATGGTACATTAATCATAGTCTCCATCCATAAGATTACATGTACACTGTGTCTTACTATTTCAATTTAAATATACACTTCCTGCTGTTTCAGAATTTGGTAATAGATTGTAGAACAAATCAATACTTCCTCTTATTATAGTTTCTCAAGTTATTTCCACTGTTTGAAGTGAGCATTAAATGCAGTTATTTTAGATATTGTCATTGTTGCCTTCCTTCTTCTCCTTCACTTAACAGAATCATTAGATTATTTTTGTGTATTTGGTTTTTAATTTGGTCTTATTAGCCATCTCCTTGTATGCCTACTGGGGGATTACTGATATACCTGCTGACCTATGCTAATGTGACTTTGTTACACCATGACTGGAGTTGACTCAGCATGTTTTATATAAAACTGTTTCTTTTATATAAAAAAATATATTTATGTTGCTCAGAAGAGGTTGAGTCCAACAGAATCTAACTGAAACCTATTCTTCTCCCGGCTATCTCTCTTCTGTGAACCAGATTGTTTCGTTCTTAACAAGCTGGAAGCACCCTTTGAATAACTGATACATACTCTAATATTACTGCATGGTATAATAAATGTATATGGTGCCCTATGGGTATCACAGCTGGATTGTTAAGCATACACCAAGGACATTTCTGCTTGTGTCAGTTTGGAGAC